CACACTGACCACTGCGTCTCCTCCAGTTGCTGAGCCTGGTAGGGTAGCTGCGTCGGGTCAGGTGTTTGCTGCAGCGTCCAGGTCTGGTCCTGAGTCTGCCCCCTGTTCGTGTCGTCTCCTGTCTCACGAGACTCTCCTCTGGCACCACCGCCTTGGTCACCCCTCTCTGCTTCGGCTCAGAGGCATGGCCTCTCGTCTTCTTGTTTCTGGTCTCCCCCGGTCCCTCCCTCCCCTTCCTCAGGGCCCTGGCCCTACCTGTGTCCCCTGTGTCGAGGGGCGCCAGCGTGCTGCCCCTCACTCCTCCCAGTTTCCTCCGACAGAGGCCCCGTTGCAGACGCTTCACATGGACGTGTGGGGCCCAGCCCGCGTCAATGGACAGGGTCACGAGCGCTACTTCCTGCTAGTTGTTGACGACTACTCGCGTTACACCGCAGGCTTCCCCTTGCGCAGCAAGAGTGATGTCATTGAGGTGCTGATCGACTGGATCTGCGCAGCTCGTCTCCAGCTCAGGCAGAGCTTTGGCTCGGACTTTCCTGTTCTGCGTCTGCACTCGGACAGAGGCGGAGAGTTTTCCTCTGGCCTTCTGAGAGCCTACTGTCGCGCATGGGGCATCCGTCAGACCTTCACGCTTCCGGACTCTCCGCAGCAAAATGGGATTGCTGAGCGCCGCATTGGCATGGTCACATCAGAAAAACCCTATGCCAAGTTTGGACGAATTTTGATTGGGATTGTCTTCGCTTAAAAAATTCGGGACCGAATTTCGACCGACGGTTTGAGTCATTTGATAGGAGCTCCGACACACATCTCGCGACAAGGCTTGGCTCGGGTCAAGTTCCAATTTGGCACGCGTGCTGTTCCGGCTGACATTCGCGCGCAATCCGTTTAGGGTCAGTTTTGTGACCAAATCATTAAAAAATGGATTTTGTATTTGTTTTATTCTGGGAATTGAGGATTTCAGAATTACATTCAATATTCGCGGGTTAGGACGTGTGAGATTTTTTATGGAGTTCGTAATCAGGGTCGAACTTTTGGTGGTTACCATTTTCGCCAATGTTCGCTAACCGCCTCGCCGAAGTCGAAACAAATTCCCCGTTTGGGAAGTGCGAACCCTCATTTGTGAACTTGATACAGAAAAATTCGTGAACTTGCACAAACACAAAGATCCAAACGTGTGTGGTGTCAGGCACGTACGAGGTTTCAGCGAACCTCGCGACTCATTCGTGCGCCAATGAGATCACAACCAAGACACAGCGCATTGCTGAACTCGCTATGGCCACCACGTGGCACAATTCATGCCACGATGGCTAGTCGTGCGTCACTTTTTTTAGCAGCGCTCCGGTGACGTGTCGCGCTGTGGTGTGCTTGAAACCGGGTAACCTACAGTCTCCAATTGCGGCTCGGTTCCCCCTCTGTAAATTCGAACTTGCAAATTCGCACCTTGGTGTGTGATTGTGAGTATACAAGAATGCTCACACGCGGTGCGAACCTTGCCACATCTCAAAATCGATTCAAGTTCAGGTTATAAAACCCTGCTTAAATCGAGTAAAAAACGTGAACTTTCATAAACCCTTGTTTCACACACGTCCTTACAGCTTCCATCATTCAGCATTCTAACAACCAGCAGTTTTTACACCCAGTCAAATAGTCTACGCAATGGTGGGCCCTGCAAGCCCCCGGTAGGCAAGAACAACATCTCCAAGGTCGCCATCGTCGATGAGGAACTTGTTCTGGAAGACGAACGCACCCTGAGCCGGATCGTGTGGGATGCGTTGCTCCACAACGGCAAAGTGTATCATCTGTTTGACCTTGTCACACCACTCGAAGTAGTCCGGCCTGTTTTGTTCCGGCTGGGCCGGAATACGCTTGCGGCGCTTGTCCTGCAGAAGGGGCCACTCGATCTGCAATGTGGTGTAGGGTTGGGTGGATGGTGTATGAGGGGAGGTTATGGGCATATGATCCAACTGAAAGTAGTGAAGACGTCACACCCTACGTAACCGCAAACGCCTAAGCGACCTGGGTTTTAGATGAAGTACAGGCGAGGGGTTTAGGGGATGAGGCATGGGTGTAGTGTCACTTATCTACCTCCTTACCGAAAACAGGCCCCATGCCACCATGCGGCTCTTGAACTTGGTGAACACGACCCCGCTCCTCTTGAAGGAGAGCTTGAACGCATAAGCAAACAAGGGGTTGCTGAAGGGCGTTCCGGTGGCCTTGTCAAAGTGCCAGTTGAGGGTCCACTGTTCTGCATTTTGGGAGGGAGCGTATGGGTTGGAAAGGGGGTGCAGATAGATCAAGTGGGGGGGTGAGAGACAGGGTCAGAGTACCACGGCACGGTTATTTGTAGCTGCTGACTGGCTTATGGGCAGGGGGATATGGTGTGTTTGAGACGCACATACCATCTCTGTACTCGGCCAGGAGCTGCTCGTCGTTGAACCACTTCTCCGGGCGTAGCTCAGTGGGCAGGCTATCCACCGCATTGGCGTAATCGGAGAGACCCATGCCGGCGTACGTTGCTGGCCTGAGGGTGCTGTTGATTGTTGACCTGGTTGATGACATCTGGTGGTTGAAGACACCCATGGTTGACTTGTCGTTGTGCAACCACAGCAGCTTCATTGACTCTAGCCCTTCGTGAGACAAGTGGACAGCGAACGCCTCGAACACTTCCTCCGGTGCAGGGTAATACTGAATCTTCTCCGGGGGGTTCAGAAACAGGAGCTGAGAGCACACTAAGTAGGCTTTGATCTGCGCATGGGTGTGGATTTACAACACGACACGGGGAGAGAGAAACCATCAATTATGACTGTGGCCGCGTGACCAACCCTCCCGCGTCCGCCACGTCAGGGAGGAACCAGCCCCACTTGCCACGTCACATCCACCCACCCCATGCCACGTCACCCCCCACCCACCCTCCTGCATCCGCCAAATCCACCAACGACCCTCCCCACGTGACACGTCACACCCACCCTCCCCATGCCACGTCACCCCCACCCACCTGACACGTGTAGCGTCGTCACGCGCCGCTCCCGTGTACCCTTACAAGCCGCCACGTCAGCACCAAGCCACATCCCGCCACGTCACACGCCCTTGCGTCTGCCACGTCAGGGATCAGCCAGCCCCACGTGACACGTCACACCCACCCTCCCCATGCCACGTCACCCCCCACCCACCTGACACGTGTAGCGTCGTCACGCGCCGCTCCCGTGTAACCTACCAAGCCGCCACGTCAGCACCAAGCCACACATCCCGCCACGGCACACCCTCCTGCATCCGCCACGTCAGGGAGCAGCCAGCCCCACGTGACACGTCACACCCGCCCACCCCATGCCACGTCACCCCCCACTCACCTGACACGCGTCGCCTCGTTGAGCGCCGCTCCCTTGTGCCCTTCCAAGCCGCCACGTCAGCACCAAGCCACACATCCCGCCACGTCACACGCCCTTGCGTCCGCCACGTCAGGGATCAGCCAGCCCCACGTGCCACGTCATACCCGCCCACCCCATGCCACGTCACCAAGCCACCCACCTGACACGTGTAGCGTCGTCACGCGCCGCTCCCGTGTACCCTACCAAGCCGCCACGTCAGCACCAAGCCACACATCCCGCCACGGCACACCCTCCTGCATCCGCCACGTCAGGGAGCAGCCAGCCCCACGTGACACGTCACACCCGCCCACCCCATGCCACGTCACCCCCCACTCACCTGACACGCGTCGCCTCGTTGAGCGCCGCTCCCTTGTGCCCTTCCAAGCCGCCACGTCAGCACCAAGCCACACATCGCGCCACGTCACACGCCCTTGCGTCCGCCACGTCAGGGATCAGCCAGCCCCACGTGCCACGTCATACCCGCCCACCCCATGCCACGTCACCAAGCCACCCACCGCACACGTGTAGCGTCGTCACGCGCCGCTCCCGTGTACCCTTCCAAGCTGCCACGTCAGCACCAAGCCACACATCCCGCCACTGCACACCCTCCTGCATCCGCCACGTCAGGGAGCAGCCAGCCCCACGTGACACGTCACACCCGCCCACCCCATGCCACGTCACCCCCCACCCACCTGACACGCGTCGCCTCGTTGAGCGCCGCTCCCTTGTGCCCTTCCAAGCCGCCACGTCAGCACCAAGCCACACATCCCGCCACGTCACACGCCCTTGCGTCCGCCACGTCAGGGAGCAGCCAGCCCCACGTGACACGTCACACCCGCCCACCCCATGCCACGTCACCCCCCACTCACCTGACACGCGTCGCCTCGTTGAGCGCCGCTCCCTTGTGCCCTTCCAAGCCGCCACATCAGCACCAAGCCACACATCCCGCCACGTCACACGCCCTTGCGTCCGCCACGTCAGGGATCAGCCAGCTCCACGTGCCACGTCATACCCGCCCACCCCATGCCACGTCACCAAGCCACCCACCGCACACGTGTAGCGTCGTCACGCGCCGCTCCCGTGTACCCTTCCAAGCCGCCACGTCAGCACCAAGCCACACATCCCGCCACTGCACACCCTCCTGCATCCGCCACGTCAGGGAGCAGCCAGCCCCACGTGACACGTCACACCCGCCCACCCCATGCCACGTCACCCCCCACCCACCTGACACGCGTCGCCTCGTTGAGCGCCGCTCCCTTGTGCCCTTCCAAGCCGCCACGTCAGCACCAAGTCACACATCCCGCCACGTCACACGCCCTTGCGTCCGCCACGTCAGGGATCAGCCAGCCCCACGTGCCACGTCACACCCGCCCACCCCATGCCACGTCACACCCCACCCACCTGACACGCGGCGCCTCGTTGAGCGCCGCTCCCGTGTGCCCTTCCAAGGTGCCACGTCAGCACCAAGCCACACATCCCGCCACGTCACACCCTCTTGCGTCCGCCGTCTAAACCCACCAACCCAACCCACTTGCCACGTCGCACACAGAGATCCGAAAGAGCCACGTCAGCCCCCGCCCACATGTGGAGTCACGTGTCGCCCTGCACCGCTCCCGCGCACCCTTTCCAACCGCCAGGTCATTCCCAACCCTGCCCTGGTTGCCACGTCAACCCCAACCCGCCACATACCGGGAATGGGTTGGTCTCCTGCAGCACAAGCACACGTGCCTTGTCCACGGCACTCATCGGCGGCGGGGTACCACCCATCGGCACCACTGCGGCCCCCCCGGCATAGCTGGCAGCTGCTCCCCGACGCAGGCCGAGCTGAGCAAACATGGCGTACATCTCAGACCGTAGCTGCTGGAACTCGTCTCGTGTAACAAACTGCCCGTGCTCTGCACCTTCAGCCAGCGCATCCATGACATCCGGAAAAGGGTGTGTAGAAACCCCTCTCTGGCCAAGGGGTTCAACGTCTTCTGCAGCAGCACCGTGTGCCCTCACACTATCACGCTGGCGGGAAAAGGGAAGCTCAGGGAAGGGATTGGCAAAGGTGCTTGGTTGATGCACACGCGATGGACCGGCGAGGGGGGATACCGCCCTGCCCCGGGCTGGAGAAGCGTGTAGTGGCCGAAATGGGTATGAGGGAGAGGCGAGTGGGGAGTGCGTGACGGGGGCTGGTGGAGGGGATTCGGATTCCTCGCCTGTTGCCGCGCCGGGTGCAGTCGCAGCGACTTTGCTCGGGCCGGAGTATGGCGTGAAGAACCTTGGTCCTCCTGTGGATAGCGGTGCCACACTCGCTCTTCCGGCCCCTTTCGCTAGCTGCATCCGTTGCACGGTTACCGGTGGCCCAATGCCTGTAACACGGGGGGCTGAGAGTTACACGGAGGATGAGCACGGAGCTGGTGTCTGTAAGGTGCATTTGGACACGTGCAAACATGACGAGCAACCGCATGATTCTAACATGGGTGTAGCACGGAACTGTAGTGTATAGTCACGCCTTACCCGGTTTAGCCGATTCGTCAACCTTCTCCTTCCCTGCGGCGGGAAAAGACGGGTGGAACACGGTGTTGTTAGGGTCTGTTCAGCACAAACCGAGGCAGCTATGCCAGTCGTTTGTGACACGTTGCTTACCACGTTGCTGTCCCTTCGGTTTTGCTGCCTGCTCCTTATCGTTGCCCCGTTTCCGCGGTGTGCTTTGGCGGGTGCTGCCTCGTTTACGGGCAGGTTCTTTCTTTGCCGAACCCACAGGTACCCCTTTCGCGCGCGGTCTCTTTCCGTCTCCATCGCCTTTAGCTCCCTGTCTCACTTGCTTCCTTCCACCCCGGTCACGTTCAACCTTCACCTTACGCGCCTTCGATTTGCCCGCTGGTCCGCCACGCATTGCGTCACCCGCCCCGCGTTTCCGGGATTGTCCAGACCGGCCCCCCACCTTCCCTGTGCCACTCCCCCGTCCGCCTCGCGCGCCCCGTCCTTTCCCTGCCGGCTCCTCCTCCTCCTCCTCCTCATCCGCCCCTTCCTCCACCTCCTCTTCCTCCTCGTCGTCCTCCTCCTCCTCATCCTCCTCCTCATCATCCTCCTCCTCCTCTTCCTCCTCCTCCTCCTCCTGCTCCTCCTCCTCCTCCTCCTCCTCCTCCTCCTCCTCCTCATCCTCCTCCTCCTCCTCCTGCTCCTCATCCTCGTCGTCCCCCTCATCGTCCTCCTCATCGTCCTCATCCTCATCCTCCTCCTCCTCCTCCTCCTCCTCCTCCTCCTCCTCCTCCTCCTCCTCCTCCTCCTCCTCCTCCTCCTCCTCCTCCTCCTCCTCCTCATCATCGTCGCCCTCCTGCTCATCCTCGTCCTTTTCACCCTCCCCTGCATCCTCGTCCTCCTCCTCCGCATCCTCCTCGGCCTCCTCCTCCCCATCCCCCTCGTCCTCAACATCCGCTTCACCAGGGCCTTCTTTGCCGCGCTTCGGCCTATTCCCCCCCGAAGATTGCTTCCCCCTCCGTCCGCTAGATGGTTTCCTCGGACCGGATCCCACCTTATGCCGCATTGCATGATCTGTCGCCAAGCCACTTGGCGCCGTGGTGCCTCGCATTGTCCCAACTTCAGCACCACCGGCGTCGTCGCCGCTGGCTGTCGTCTGCCTCCTCTTCGCGCGTATGGGCATGTCCTCAGCCACGGGGGTGTCATTCTCCTCCTCACCATCGCTCTTCCTCTGCCTACGCCTCCCGCGTCCCCCAGAGGGAGGAGATCCACCTACGTCGGCAATGTCGTGTTTCGGCCCCTCCGTGCAATCGTGCGCAGCATCCTTCTCCTTATCTATCACTGCAGCAGATATTTCGACCACGGGCGGGTGGGGCAGCGTCAGATGCTGCTGCTTTGCCTCTGCCACGGACGTCGAAGTTGCGGCCTGATCTTGGCGGGGAGAGTCGCCGTGCTTTCCTCCAGTCGCAAAGCCCTCTCTGTCCCCCGACCGGACGGCAACACTCACGCCGCCACGCCCAGGGTCTTCGTTCCCGCCGATGGTGCCGTCGTCAGAAGGACCGGGCTCGAGGGCAGCAGTGGCAACATCCGCATCGCTCCTGACGGCCGAAACACGCTTGCGTGCCGTTGGTTGCTTCCCCTTGTCCTCCGCCTTCTTCCCGGGCTTCTGCTTTCCCACCTCAGCCTTTTTCCCCGCCGCACGTTTCGTTTGATTGGTTTGCGCGGCGGCCTTTTTAGTAGCCCTAGATCTGGCCCCACCCTCTTGGTCGGTCTGATGCGACATCCTTCGTGTCGTGCGTCGTTTTGCCTCCTCCTTCTGCTTTTCTGTTTGCCGAGTAGCAGGTGTCATGAGGGTGGTACGAATGCAAGTATTAAATTGCGGGATTGGGTAGCTGAGTTAAAAAAAAAAACCGCACAGGTTTGTTGCTATTTGACCCCGTCCCGGTGAAGCCATTACTTTTTCACCCTAAATCAGAAGGTACAATTACACCTGAATTAGTAGCTACTAAGCACATGGCGTCAGCCCTTTCCTTCGTCGCTACTCCGTCTAACTGGCGATTTGGAAACACCTGTGTTCAGCAGCGAGCGGCGTCAAGGTAGTGGGTATGAGGGTGACGGAAGCTGGTGAGTGGGGCACGACGGTAGTTGGGGTGGTTTGCGAGTCTATGGAGAGGACTGTAAGCAGAACACGCACCATCGGACGGTCTACGATTTGCCACCCGATCAGAAACGCACTACACGCTTGATCACAGTCGCTGCTTCCGCGGCGAATGTCCAGCTTGGCTGGTGCGGTAGTGGGGAGGGTCGTTTGAGATGCGTCGGCCAATCAGCGCCAACGCATCAATCTCCACGGAATCTAGTACCGTTTCGACACCACCAATCATCACATCCTGCAAAATACAGTGCCTAGTGCATTGATCAAATTTTAACATAGTAGCTGAATACACTTGCAAAGTACAACTAAGACAATTTAAAGTGAATAGCCGTTTATGGTGTCATATGGTGTGAAGTTTAGTGAGTGCATGGGGCTTAGGACGCACTCTTTGTGCTTCCAACTCGTGGACTATGGAATGCTATACTGAGCACACATTGAGAATGGGTGACGGATACTGGTCGTTGGAAGTTGTTCAAGCACGACGTGTACTAGTGCCAACTGGAATGGAGATGTAGTGTGGTGTTGGCTTGGGCTCCATTCTTGCGTGGGCCCTCGACATGGTGAATTGAGGGTGTGGGATGAAGCACAGGCCCAACGCACGAGCGTTGATGCGCAATCGACATCGCTGTTTAGTTTGGCGACGTTGCTGCGTTCGCATCCATACAAGGCTTGCGCGACCAGGCGAATCCATTGTGGAATGGTGTTGGATGGGGCTCCATTCTTGCATGGGCCCTCCGCCAGGTGCATTGAGGGTGTGGGATGAAGCACAGGCCCAACGCACGAGCGTTGATGCGCAATCGACATCGCTGTTTAGTTTGGCGACGTTGCTGCGATCGCATCCATACAATGCTTGCGCGACCAGGCGAATCCGTTGTGGAATGGTGTTGGATGGGGCTCCATTCTTGCATGGGCCCTCCGCCAGGTGCATTGAGAGTGTGGGATGAAGCACAGGCCCAACGCACGAGCGTTGATGCGCAATCGACATCGCTGTTTAGTTTGGCGACGTTGTTGCGTTCGCATCCATACAATGCTTGCGCGACCAGGCGAATCCGTTGTGGAATGGTGTTGGATGGGGCTCCATTCTTGCATGGGCCCTCCGCCAGGTGCATTGAGAGTGTGGGATGAAGCACAGGCCCAACGCACGAGCGTTGATGCGCAATCGACATCGCTGTTTAGTTTGGCGACGGTGCTGCGTTCGCATCCATACAAGGCTTGCGCGACCAGGCGAATCCGTTGTGGTACGGTGTTGGATTGTCATCTAACCTTGCACGGACATTCAAGTAGGTGCCTCAAAGGGGTATGAAGTAGAGCCACAACGCACAATCGGCGATGCGTTATCGTGAGGGCACGAAGTTCTTGTGTACTTCCCGTATGTTGCCAAACCACACTAGAGATCTTGTATGTTTTTTAGACTGTCACGTTGTCAACTAGGGGTGGATCTCGAGCAGGCATTTTCATGTGACCGTGTAGTAGTTATCATCAACGAGTTTAGTGTATAGATTAAATGCAATTGTACAATGTAATATCCTGCGCTGTATTTTGTCCGTTGTCGAGCTCAACACTGTGAGCTCACTAACGTGAGCGCGATCTTCCCCGTATAACAATTCGCAACTGAACTACAGATCCAAACGGATCTCTTCCCGCTCTTCCTCATCCCACTCGACTCTCACGCACCAAGAGTGCGTGAATCCACAGGCACGTCCTTCTCACCGAGCTCGCAACGCACACACAAGACCTACCGTCTTAGAATCAAGCGCATTCTCCGCTGCTCACGTCGTGGTCTGTCAAAACGGGGGCGACACGCCTTGTAGGGAAGACGACCCGCCTTGAACAGTGCGCGGTTTGGCGATGACCATGTTGCATTACCAGCCTTCTTGCACGGAGTACTTAATGCCTTCTCAAGCTTCCCACGACGCTCGTTGCTTCACAGGCCATTCCTCAACACTTAGACAGATCCGTACCGCATGGGCTCCTTACCTGGCGTCGTCTGCGAGTTTTGCAATAGATGGTTCCCCAACGCCCAAGTTCATGGCGGTCACAAGTCACGGCGGACCCCTTGCCAAGGCCTTTCCGCCGTGGCAAGGCCCTCGCAATCTGCACCATCCGCCGTGGCAAGGCCCTCGCAATCTGCACCATCCGCTGCACCTCCCGCTTCACCTACCGCGTCTAATGCGTCCAACACCGACGCTGTGAATGGTCCTCCTCGCGTGCATGAAGCTGAAGATGACGCAACACCCTCGGCTGGGAACGTGGGGGCTTCTGAATCTGAGCATCAACCGCCACCCGGAACACCTGCAGATGACACGAGTGCGGATCCGGGGTGCCGCCCTGGAGTGAGTCACGCGGCCCCGCCGACAATCATCTCCGGGGAGAGCAATGCGACGCCCCTCAATCCGATTGCGGTGAAGCTGCTGCACTTCGTGAGGCGTGTAAATGGCGGAATGGGCATGGCGGAGATCGACATCAATGGCCTGCTTCAGCTCGTGGTGGAGCCCGGCCTTGCGCCTCTTGTGATCTCAGAGATCCGGAACTGCAAGGATCTGGAGAGGTTCGAGATGGAGCGCTTGGTAGGGCTCAATCGCGGATGGTCAGTGGCGACCTTCGAGATTGAGGGTCATCCTCCACAACGCCTCCTCTTCCAGAACTCTGCGCAGGTAAGCCGGCCGTGGATGCGTGGCTGTGAAATGCAGATTCCGCCTCCATTTGGTCCATGTGTGCGATCCGACCCTTCCCCGCTCCCGCCACTAAACCCCTGTTTGGTTCTCCCCCGCTCTTGATGCCGTACTCCAGGCTTTTGCTGAACTGTTTGGGCACACCAACAACGCGCCCGGCTTCAAGCTCAAGGCTCGTGTCGATGAGGACCATGGCACAGGCGAGCGTCGCTATACCACGCCAGAAACTGGAACGTGGTGGAACGATGCTCAGGTATGTAAATACCCCGCTGCCACCCAAAACCACACGCGTGCGCCGTCCTCCGTTGACGCGCTGATGTGTAGGGAGCATCTTCAGTGCGTCATGTTAGTGGGGAGTGTTATGTACCATGCTTAATCCGCCAGGCGACACATTACCTTGGTGGTGTTTGACCGTGGGGGTTTTCCGTCTTTGTCGTGCATGCAGGAACACTTCGGATGGTCCGAAGTCGTGGGGGGTATCATCCTATATTCGGATGTGACGCACATGAGCAACAACGGCCGGAAGAAGGCGTGGCCGCTCATGATGACGCTTGCCAACATCTCCCAGGCCAAGCGATGGGGGAAAGCCGGGCACACGCTACTTGCTCTCCTTCCTATCCCCCCTTCGGCAATGTCTGCTGTTGAGAAGGTGATGCTCTTCCAGCGATGCGTCCTCACCGTGCTGCAGCCACTTCTGGATGGCATGGACAGGTCCGTACTCGATTTCCGTCATGCTATGTCGTCACCGTGTGCACAGCATAGTGTGCGCAGCGCTTTTGTATGTTGCATTACCCTTTGCCCCTCCTCGCTGATGCACAGAGTCGTCATGGCTGTTGACGTTACCACTCTACCCGTTCCTTGCAGCGGCTTCCGTCTCAGGGACCCTTTCGGTGATTGGCAAACAGTGCGGCCACTGCTGTACGCCTGGGTGTGCGACTACCCCGAGAGCGGCAAGATTAGTTGCACACTCTCGCATGGATCGCGGATGCCGTGCAGCATCTGCTATGCTGCAAAGGTGAGCAAACATGCCATGTGAACGCCTTCAGCGCCATCGTCATCTGACTGTCACATGACGGACCTCCTAATTTTTTCACCCTTACCAGTTCATCCCATCCCACCCCCCGTGCTACACCAGGAGCATTTAGTTGCTGTCAAGGCACGGAACACGCCGCGCACGACTGAACAGCAGCAATGGATCGTGAATGAGGCGGCTGGGTTGACATCAAGCCAGGCCGACCCATGCAAGACCTACTCGACCTACCCGGTTGAGGTGAGCGGCCTGTCCACCACGCTACTTTCCTGTCTAAGCACTCCGTGTTGAGAAGCCCTGGGGGATATGTGCACTGCCATTGCACTGCCCCACATGTTGGCCGAGTCTCTCATATACCTTTCTCTACCATTCCCCACCACACCCCCTCCGCCAGTGTGTGCTCTGGAAATGGGATGTCCCAGGGACCGTGTGGGGCAATCCCTACCTCGTTATCATGCCTGACATCATGCACCAGGCGGACCTGGGCATGATGAGCCACATTGTGGCTGTCGTGCGCAAGATGAAGAAGCGGCGCGTCAAGCAGATGGACAGGTCAGTGCCTTGGGGGATTACTTTCGTGTCAAGAACACTCCAATACGCACTCTCCTCCTACTTACATGCCCATGCATTTGTGCCGGCCTTGAACTCGGATGTATGCGCAGGCGCCTGTCCCTCATTCGCGACCGCACGCGCCTGAACCACCTGCGCCTGCCAGAGAGCGCCTACTTCGAGAGTGGAGCATGTGTCGCGGCCTATGAGCACAGGGCCGTCATGCAGGTGAGCAAGCCATGGTGCATGTGATCCTCGTGAGCGACAGCATGCACCATGCTGAAACAGGATGCTGATTCCAGGCTACAACACCCCCCCTACTGCATCCTAGTACCCATTCTCCCGCTCTCATCAATTCCGCCCCCTAACCTGTTTGTTAATCGGCACACGCATGTCCCAACTACTCATGCCCACCTGCCGTCCTTAACCCTGAAATTTGCAGGTCATGGTGTTCGTATTTGCTGGCCTGCTTCGCCAGCCCCAGATGGATGCTGTTCGTGCCTATCTTGGCTGGTACCTCTTGTGTTGCCAGCCAACGGGGCACATCGATCGGTCCCTGCGGGATCTCAAGAAGAAGACCTCCCGGTACTATTGACATGCATGTACAACCCTGGAGATTGCATGAATGCCTGGCCACGGCACCTAAGCTGTTGTAGTAACATATCTTCTGAGGTTGTTGCTGATAAACCATGATAGTATATCAAATAAAGTAGGCTGCAGTATGCTGTAGTAGACTCTGATGTCCTTGCATGCTGTCAACTCCCACTCCCATCAGGCTGGTTGAGCAGTTGCAGGCTGCTTTTCCAAAGCAGCCATCCTCTTGGTGCCTTGTGAAAACCCATCTCATGTCGCACTACATCGACTCCATTCGCCGTGCGGGACACGTCACGGAATTCAGCACCAACATGTTCGAGCACTTGCATGGCCCGTTGGTAAAGAGGATCTACCGGCGGTCCAACAAGCGCAATGTAGATGGGCAGATTATGAAGTTCCATGCTAGGCGCATCCCGGACGTTGTGCCGGTGGACGATCCCCTTGGCCGGGACACTGCCATGCGGCAGGTAAACCTGTCTAGTGATTGAATTGCAAAGATATGCATGCATAATGTAATAAACTCGCCACTGTTCGTTGGCAGGCCATTGAGACATGCACAAGGACTCTTATCAAAGAGTCCTACTTTCTCCCTGTGGAGTTACCAGAAGAACCCACCTCCACCAATTGGTTTGCAAGGAAGTGGGCCATGCAACACCCAGTTGCACAAGCTGCCCTCAAGGATGCGCTAGTACGTTATGCTGGATGCGTCCCCAAGATCAGAGTAAGTACTTCGTGGATCATACAATCATTTTTTTCTTGCCCCAAACCCTAAACTGATTACACACTGCAATTGTTATGCAGGCCCATGCATCGTTGGCCATCCCAGCGGCAGATGATGCCAGCTTCTCAAGAGTTTCTCACTTCGTTCGAGCGACCCCTGACTATTTTGAGAGGCCGTGGTACTCGGATGTTGCAGTGGAGGGTATAAGGCATGGTCGGAGAGAGGAGTGGTATGCAAGGTTGCTCCTGTTGTTCCATACAAAAATACGTGGAGAGAGGGAGGAGCTAGCCTACGTTAGATATTGGAACGCAAGCGGAGAGGATGCTGCAACCGGATGCCTTCGCCTCAAGTGGACAACAGGAATGTACGCATACTCTGTGATTCCGATGGAAGCGCTGCTCCGTCACGTCCATGTGGTGAAGGCATTCCATCTGGACAGTACCCTTCTCCTTAATACGTATCATATGTGATGCATTTATATTGTAATAAAATGGCCTGTTAAGTTATCCAGCACTCACATTTTACATAAGTCAAAACAAACAAAACCAATTACAAATGGATCCCAAATTTGGCACGATCCAAATGAACAACAATGTACCGGAGTCGCGGATTCGATTTAGACTCGGACAAATAAACGCGGTCCGAATTCATTCCGTGATTGGTCGCGCTTTTGTTTCGGAACTTCGCCAACCAAAACACCTGAACTGTACCCCCCTCCGAACCCCCTTTAAAAACCAAGGTTTTTTGTGATGCATGGACGTCGCTCGTACGTCTATGATGCATGCGGCTGCCCCCCATTTTCTGTGGCCGTTTGCGGTCAGGTACGCGGCGCATCAGATCAACCTTCACCCCAAGGTCTCCAGGCCGGAGACCTCCCCAGGCTTGCTGTGGACGGGGAAGGTTGGCGATGCGTCGGCGTTCCGGGTCTGGGGATCTCGGGCGTTTGTCCGCGACTTGTCTGCGGACAAGCTGTCCCCTCGTGCTGCTCCTTGCGTCTTCCTGGGGTTCCCCCCTGACGCTCCTGGGTGGCAGTTCTACCACCCCACCTCTCGCCGTGTTCTGACCTCCCAGGACGTCACGTTCGACGAGTCGGTCCCCTACTACCGCCTCTTCCCCTACCGCACTCCGTCCCTCCCCCCGCCCCCGCTCTTCCTTGTACCAGGTCCCCCCCAGGTAGACCCCCTCCCCCCTCAGGATCGTGCCCCTTCAGGTGTGTCCCAGGTAGATGCAGTCGAGCCTATCGAGGTCACTGGTGACTCTGGTGCTGCTAAGGGTGCTGAGCCTGGGGGTGCTGTGCCTGGGGGTGCTGAGCCTGGGGGTGCTACGCCTCGGGGTGCTTTGCCTAGGGGTGCCGGGCCTGGGGGTGCTGAGACTGGAGGTGCTCCGCTTGGAGGTTCTCTGGGTGCTTCGTCTCGCCGGGAGCCACTCTCTCCACAGGAGCTGCGCGAGTGGTTTGCCCGGCGCTGGAGCCGTGCAGCTGGTGCTGGAGTTTCTTTGGCTACTGGGGGTGCTGAGCCTAGGGGTGCTGAGCCTCGGGGTGCTGAGCTTGGGGGTGCTACGCCTGGGGGTGCTGAGCCTGGGGGTGCTGAGCCTGGGGGTGCTGAGCCTGGGGGTGCTGAGCCTGGAGGTGCTCCGCCTGGAGGTTCTCCGGGTGCTTCGTCTCGCCGGGAGCCACTCTCTCCACAGGAGCTGCGCGAGTGGTTTGCCCGGCGCTGGAGCCGTGCTGCTGGTGCTCGAGGTTCGTCGGCTACTGAGGGTGCTGCTGTCGCGGGTCCCGGAGGTACTTGTCCTGGGAGTACTAGAGCTGCTGGGCCTGCAGGTTCGACTGGAGCTGGTGCTGCTGAGGGTGTTGGCGCTGAGACTACCACCGGCGGTCCTGCTAGGGGTGTGCCTGTTGCTGCTGGAGGTTCTGGAGCTCCTAGATGTGCTGCTGGAGCGGGTGCTCCTACTGGAGGTGCTGCTGAGGGTGTTGGCGCTGAGACTACCGCTGGCGGTCCTGCTGGGGGTGCCCCTGGTGCTGCTGGAGTTTCTGGAGCTACTGGTGGTGCTGCTGGAGCGGGTGCTCCTGCTGAGGGTTCTGGTGCTGGCGTCGCCACGCGGCCTCGACCGTAGTTCGTTCCACTCCTGCAGCAGGTTCTTGGTCTTCCACCTTCTACTGGTCCTCCTTCTCCCTTAGAGTGTCCACAGCCTGTCCCGTCCCAGCTACAGTTGCAGCCTACCTCCCCTTTGCCTGCTCCTTCTCCCTACACTGGTCCTACTGGAGGTCTTGCTGAGCGTCGTGAGCCTGCGTCTCGCCCTGCGTCGCCTGTCCGTGCTACTCGCACTAGTGGTCGCGGTTCGCGTCAGCGTCCTCCTCCTGTCCCTGGCACGCACCGGATGTCTCTACGTCCGTCCACTGCTCCTCTGCGTGCCCCTTTGCCTTCTCCTCCTGAGTCCTCTCTTCCTGCTCTTGCCGACCCGGAGTCGGACTCTCTTCGTGCTGCCAGTCCTACTGTCACGCGTCTCCTTGCTACTGTTGTCACTGACCCTTCTTTCGAGTCTACTGTTGCGTTTGCTCTCGTTACTGAGCTCGTCGACTATGACTATGCTGCTAGTCTTGTCGCTGAGTCTGAGTCTGTCTGTCCTCCGTCCGTCGGGGGTGAGTGTGCCCTTGGCACGGACGTCCTTGAGGACAGGCAGGAGGAGTTCCAGTGTCTGGCAGCTGCTTCACCTCATCTCGTGTCCGTACTGCTTACCCCTGAGGGAGACCTGGATTCACTTGACATCCCGACTCCGCGCTCTTACGCGGAGGCGATAGAGGGTCCCTACTCCTCTCAGTGGCAGGCATCTATGGATGCAGAGATGGCTTCCTGGAAGTCCACAGGCACCTACGTTGACGCTGTCCCCCCTCCTGGGGCGAACATCGTCAGTGGCATGTGGATCTTCAGGGTGCAGCGGCCGCCGGGTTCTCCGCCTGTCTTCAAGGCGCGTTACGTGGCTCGTGGCTTCAGTCAGCGGCACGGAGTTGACTACTTTCAGACCTTCTCCCCCACCCCGAAGATGACCACTCTTCGGGTACTGGTGCACGTTGCTGCTCACCGTGACTACGAGCTGCACTCTCTTGACTTCAGCACAGCTTTCTTGCAGGGCAGCCTGCACGAGGAGATCTGGCTGCGCCGCCCACCTGGCTTCACTGGGTCTTTCCCTCCTGGTCCCCAGTGGAGTCTCCGGCGTCCAGTCTACGGTCTCCGCCAGGCGCTACGTGAGTCGCACGACACACTGAGGACTACGCTTGTGGCTCTTGGGTTTGCTCCTTCTACTGCCGACCCGTCGCTGTTTCTGCGCACCGACACCTCTCTGCCGCCGTTCGACATCCTCGTGTACGTCGACGACTTGGTCTTTGCCACAACTGACACTGCTGGACTCGCCTACGTGAAGTCCGAGCTGCAGAAGAGACACACGTGCACAGACCTGGGTGAACTGCGCAGCTACCTTGGCTTGCAGATCACCCGGGACAGAGCACGCCGCACCATTACCTTGACTCAGTTACACATGGTGCAGCAGGTCCTTCAGCGCTTCGGCTTCACGTACTCCTCGCCTCAGGCCACTCCTCTGTCTACTCGCCACTCGCTCTCAGCTCTGCCTTCGGATGAGTCCGTAGAGTCGAGTGGCCCGTACCCAGAGCTTGTTGGCTGCCTCATGTACCTGATGACCTGCACACGACCTGACCTTGCATACCCTCTAAGCATTCTTGCACGCTATGTTGCTCCTGGGAGACACTGACCAGAGCACATGGCTGCACCGAAGAGGGTGTTGCGCTACCTGTGCAGTACGTCGGGCATGGGGCTAGTGCTTGGAGGGCGGAGTCCAGTGGTCCTCACTGGGCACGCGGACGCTTCTTGGGATGACGACCAGGCTACGCAGCGGTCGTCACAGGGCTACACCTTCAGCCTTGGTTCCGGCTCTGTTTTGTGGCGGGCTACGCGCTCGTCTTCTGTTCTTGGCTCCAGTTGTGAGGCTGAGATCTACGCCGGGGCCATGGCTGCACAGGAGCTTCGCTGGCTCACCTACCTGCTGACCGACCTTGGAGAGCCGCCTCGTTCTTCTCCAGTCCTGTACGTAGACAACAAGGCCATGCTGGCCTTGTGTCGAGAGCAGCGACTGGAGCACAGAACAAAGCACATTGCTCTCCGCTACTTCCTTGCTCGTGAGCTACAGCAGCGTGGACAGTTGCGGCTTGCGTACGTGGCCTCTGAGGCCAACACTGCTTATGTCTTCACCAAGGCACTTCCGCCTTGTGATCATCAGCGCTTCTGCACTCAGCTGGGTCTTGTGCCCGTCTTGCCTCACTTGCTCTCCTCTTGACCTTGCTTGTACTCTCACATATATTTATTATTGTTCTTGCTTGTCTAGCTTTATATATATGTGTGTACTCTTGCATGTGAACTGGCCGTGTGGCCTTGACCCTGTGCTCGGACTGTGTGGTGACTTTGTGATCCACCCTGAGCTTGCTTTGCTTTGCTTTACTTGACTGGTCTTGTGACCCCTTGTTCTCCCCCACTTTGCCTATGGGGGTGTGTCAGAATGCTATATAGCTTATACATTTGTGTAGGCTATAGTGGGGTATCCCATAGGGGGTACAACCCAATTAGGGTTAGTACTTGTACTCACTCATTTCATAGTTTCATCATTCTCGTTTCAATTCTCACACCACCCTCACACTCCTCAGCCCAAAACCCTAAAACGGGTTGCAAGGGGCAGGAGCGCGGGGTGACAGCGGGGGGGACGGCGCGCGGCTCCCCAGGGTGGCGCGATGGGGCAGCGGGGGGTCGCTCGCGACTCCTTAGGGCGCCGCGACGGACGGGCGGGGGCAGCGCGCGACTCCCCTGGGTGCCGCGAAGGACGGGCGGGGCCCGCGCGCAACTCCTCAGGGCGCCGCGAAGGACGGGCGGGGGCAGCGTGCGGCTCCCCAGGGTACCGCAACGGACTGGCGGGGGCAGCGCGCGGCTCCCCAGGGTGCCGCGACGGATGAATTAAGGGCCGCGCGCCCCCCGGGCGTGCGCCTCACAGTAAAACCGCCGCGCGTCTGCTGCGCGCGGCGGGAAGAAAAAATTTTGGGTAGGAAGAAAGGGTAGCACGCTCGGGGCGCGCCACAGCAGTAGAGCAGCGGAAGCTTTAGGTGGTGGGCCCACCCACAGGATCGACCCAAGGGGATCGACCTGCTCTGATAGCATGTCAAAACTAACAGTAGAAAGTAAGAATGAAGAAAGGAGGGGTTGCACTAGCAGCAGTTGGCATACATATAGGAAACCCTAATTGGGTTGTACTCGCTGTAGAGTACCCCACTGCAGGCTAGACAATGATAACATTATGACAGTGTTGGCCTCAGACTCCACGAAGTCCAAGCGAGCCTGTCCACGGCTCAGTAACTCTCGCAGAAGAAAGTACCTGACGTTAGTGTGCTTCACTCTGCTCTCCAGTCGAGGCTCCCGACAGAGGAGAGTCGCCGCCTTGATGTTAGTGAGCAAGGTCGGTGCAAAGCTTGGCCGCTCACCAAGGTATGTGAGCAAGAAGGTCAACCAACGCAGCTCCTATGCAGCCATGGCTCCAGCATAGATATAAGCCTCAGCGGTAGAGGTCGAGACCGAGGAGGAGCGCATGGAACTCCACGAAACAGCTCTAGAGCCCAGGTTGAAACAGTAACCCTGAGTAGACCTGTGGGTCTCGGCGTCGTCAGCGTAAGAAGAGTCATAGTGACCAGTAAGTACAACAAACTACTGCCCTCCAAGAACCAGCCCCACACCTGATGTCGTCGCTAGATACTTCGCCACCCTCACAGCATCTGTCTGGTGAACTGTACGGTGTCTCCCTGGCGCAACAAAGCGAGCAAGGATGCTGAGAGGGAAGGCGAGGTCCGGGCGAGTACAAGTCATCAGGTACATGAGGCAGCCCACAAGCTCTGCCTAAGGACCACTAGGCTCAAACGGCTCATCAGGAAAGGGTCCGGTAAGTCTCTGGTCAACAGCAAGATGTGTGCGCTGTATTGTGGAGTGCTGAAGCTCGAACCGCTGAAGGACCTTCTGCACCATGTGTGACTGTGAGAGTATTATGGTGCGAGCGGCTCTATCCCTGGTGATCTGCAGGCCAAGGTCGTGGCGCAGCTCACCAAGGTCAGTGCGCGTGTGTCTCTTCTGTAGTGCGCGCTTCACGTCAGCCAAATCGACCCTGTCAGCAGTGGTGAAAACCAGGTCGTCGACGTAGACCAGTACAAAGAACGGTGTGGAGCCATGACGAACAAACAGCGACGCGTCGGCAGAAGACAGCTGGAAACCGAGGTCAGAGAGGGTAGAACGAAGGGTGCCGTGCCACTCACGAGGAGCCTGACGAAAATCGTAGACCAATTGCCTCAGCCTCCACTGTGTCCCAGGAGGAAAAGCACCTGTGAAGGCAGAGGGACGACACAACCAGACCTCCTCGTGAAGACTACCCTGAAGGAAGGCAGGGGAGAAGTCGAGAGAGTGTAGCTCGTAGTCTCTCTGTGCTGCTACCTGCAGTAACCCCCAAAGAGTGGTCATCTTTGGGGTAGGCGCGAAGGTCTGAAAGAAGTCAACTCCCTTGCGCTGACTGAAACCTCTAGCCTCGTAGCGTGCTTTGAAGACCGGAGGAGATCTCGATGGCCGTTTCACCCTGTAGATCCACATTTCATCGACTACGTTTACCCCAGGGGGGGAACCTCATCGACGTAGGTGCCTGTGGATCTGTAGGAGGCCTTCTCTGCGTCCATGGCAGCTCTCCATTGAGAGGCCCAAGGCCCTAACACTGCCTCAGCGTAAGTGTGAGGAGTCGATATATCAAGGGCGTCGGGGTCTCCCTCAGGAGCGAGCAGCATGGCACAAAGATGAGGGGAAGCGGTTGCCACGAACTCTAGCTCAAAGTGCCTGTCCTCTAGGGCGTCACAACCAAGGGAAGACTCACCGGCGACGGCCAGAGGACTGGTAGGAAGAGCAGCCACAAGACTGGTGGTGTAGTCAAGGCGGCGAGAAGAGGCAAACTCAGTGACTGCGGCAGTAAGAGCGGAGACAGAGGACAGAGAGGGACGTGGGTCGGTAACAAAAGAGGTGAGAACACGAGACACAACAGGACGGTACGTACGGTAGTAGTTTGTGATAGGAGTAGAGAGGGAAGCAGTGACTAGAACGAAGCAGGGCAGTACAAAGGTCAGAGAAGGGAACAGGGGACCAGGGACTGCTGGTGCTGCTGCTGCTGTTGCTTCGGCTACCGCTGCTGATGCTGCTCCTCCAGCCGCTGTAGCTCCAGCCGCTGCCGCTGCAACTCTCTCTCTCCTCTCGCTCCAACTCCAGCTGCTCCTCACAAGCACGGCGAACACGGGCCTGGTGCCGGGTCGGGCTGGGGTGGGGGGGAGGAGTAGTGTGCGAAGCGGTGGTAGCCCCAGGACCGCTCTCCAAAGAACCAGTTGCACCACCCCTAGAGCCAGCACCACCAGAAGTAACAGGTCCCGTCCCAGGCTCTCAAGGTCCAGCAGAGGGTGCACCCCCAGTTGTAGCACCCCTAGGGACAGCTCCACTAACACCAGCTCCCCGAAGACTAGAGTCTCCTGCAGGCACGGGCTCAGCTCCAACTCCAGCAACCCCAGAACCAGGACCTCGCACAGGTACACTCTCTGCTCCAACTCCAACACCTCTAGAGCTAGCACCTCTAGAGCCCTCGCCACAAAAACCGGCTCCCGCAGGGTGTGCTGTAGGCTGGGAGGAGGAGTGCGGGGAAGGAGGCTGCACGTGAGGGGCTACCGAAGGGGGAGGGGTAGCGTAGGACACACCTGACGGGGCGGGACCAGGGGGTGGAGGCTGTACCTGGGGAGCAGGAAGGGGAGCTGAAGTCAGGAAGAGAGGGGGAGGAGGAACCGGGAGACCTCGAGAGGGGTACCGGATGTAGTAAGGGACCGACTCGACAGAACGAACGTCGCGGGAGTCAAAGAACCGGTGAAGGGGAGGGTGGTAAAAGGTGAAGTCAGAGGAGTCCACGGGAAACCAAGGAAGACACAGGGAAGGGCACAAGGGGAGAGCTTATCCGCGGAGGTGTCGCGAACAAGCGCCAAGCAGCCCCAGACACGAAAACGTGACGCAACACCAGGGGACCCGGTCCAAAGATTGGTCGGTGAAGCCTCTGGCCGAGAGACACGTGGCAAGAGGTTCAGCTGGTGAGCGGCGTACCGAACCACGTAGGGCCACAGAAAATGGGGCGCACGGGCGTGGATCATGGAGGTGCGTGCAATCTCCATGACCAAGCCTATGCGGCGCTCAGCAACCCCATACTGCTGTGGGGACTCTGGAAGCGTCCAGGACTGACGGATGCCTTGCTCGAGACAGAATCCAACAAGAATGCCGGAGCAAAACTCACCCCCGCGGTCAGAGTGAAGACAGCCGACACGACGACCATGAGTGTCCGCAGTAACCAAAGGATCAGCGTAGAAGTCACCTCAGTCTTCTTTGCTAGAGGAAATACTGTAGTGTAGCGAGAGTAGTCATCAACGACCATCAGAAAAATACTCTCTCGCTCAAGGCCAGGGCGAGGGGCGGGGCCCCAGACGTCCAAGTGGAGAGTCTCGAAGGGCTCGGTGGCCGGATGAAGGGAGGAGGAGTGAGGGGTGGCGCGCAGGCGACCCTTGACGCAGGGACCCGGACCGCGAAGAAGTCGTAACAGCAGCTTCGGTCACGTCAGTAGCGGCGGTTGCGAGGGAGGCACTAAAGGTGGGCAGCTGAGGGACAGTGCACCGATGAAATAGTGGAGGGGGCACAGCACCAGAGGTAGAGGCTACCAAGCGGAGGTCGCTCTCGACGTCCTTGAGAGTAGACTCAAGGACGCAGATAGTGAGCTCGCTAGGATGATTCAGAAGAAGTGCGTCACGAACCGAAGCAAGGCGGTCAGGGAGGCAAGTGGCGATGAAATAGATAGTGATGGGCATGGGAGTAGGGAGCAGTGCAAGCTGTGCGTCTGTGCAGGTAGCGCGAAAGCTAGAGTCCGGTAAGCGCAGGTGAACGATCAGGTCAGCAGAACGCTCAAACGAGGCGAGGTCAGGAATCAGGAAGGGGAGGAACAGTCGACCAAGAGAGACAGTGGAAGGAGAAGCACAGCGGGCCTTGATCGCAGTCAGAAACTCACTAGCCATGCGAACCTGTGCGAAATGGGTCTCCTCGGACTCAGGGAGGAGGCTGCTGAGGGCGATGCAGGCCGCAGCGTCGCGCGATCGCTAGGCAGTTAGGTCTGCACGCTAACGTGCAACACGCTCTCTGTCCTCACGGGTAGCGTCAAGTCCTAGGGTATCAGGATCGGGGGGCGTTGGGAGGTCACCGGATGCGTGCGCCCGCAGAGACTCGTTTGCCTGCACCTGACTCTCTAGGAGACACTGCGCATGCTAGAGCCAAACCGAGAACTCGGGGGGCCTACCCTGGGCGTCAAAGGACCCTAGGGGTTGCCATAGCGAAAGTAGAAACTACAAGGCCGACAGGGCACAGTGGTAGGCGAGGGCAGGGCGACAAGCGGTTGGGCAAGAGGCCCGCGAGAAAAAGTAGGCACGTGGCGGACGCTAGAGGGACGCGAAGGGCCGGCGCGGCGAGCTCTAAGGGCAGGCTCGCAACGAGCGCAAAGGGAAGACGCGGCAAGCGCAAGAACACAGGCACGCGGCGGGCTCAAAGGGCAGGCTCGGCGGGCAGGTAGGGCAGGGCCGCGGCAGGCTCTAAGGGCAGGCACGGCGGGCAGGTAGGGCAGGGCCGCGGCATGCTCTAAGGGCAGGCACGGCGGGCAGGTAGGGCAGGGCCACGGCATGCTCTAAGGGCAGGCACGGCGGGCAGGTAGGGCAGGGCCGCGGTAGGCTCTAAGGGCAGGCATGGCGAGCAGGTAGGGCAGGGCCGAGGCAAGCTATAAAGGCAGGCGCGGCAGGTGGCACGGGGAGAGACGGCGTGCAGCTATTGCAGGCCCGCGGCGGGCACAAAACGCAAGCTCGGCGGGCGCAAGGGGCGGGCCTGGGGCGGGCCCGCGGCGGGCGTAACGGATAGGTGCGGGAGGGGCGAACGGGCGGGCCCGTGACGGGCCAAACGAGTAGGCGAGGCGGTGCGAAGGCAGGGCCCGCAGCGGGCCTAACGGGCGGGCACGGCAGCGGGCGTAACGAGCAGGGGCGGCGGTGCAAAGACAGGGCCCGCGGCGGGCCTAACAAGCAGGCACAGCGGCGGGTTTCACGGGCAGGCGCGGCGCGTGAAGGAAGGGCCCGCGGCGGGTGTAACGGGTTGCGCTAAGGGCAGGCGCGCGACAAGACGAGGAACGGGACGAGACGGGCGCGAGAACGGGCACAACGCGCTGCGGCAAGCGCGATTACAGATGAGCAGCGGACAGGCGTACGAAAGGGGTGAGGCTCGAGCAAGAGGAACGAGATCCTACAGAATCCTAACCTATATGATGCCATGTCAAAAACTGAATTGTGTGTTCATTGATGTGGGTTGTGAGAAAACTGAAACGAGAATGAATTGACTAAGTGAAAGTTGGGTACAAATACAAAACCTAGAAAGCTGTACCCTATATGTGCTACCCCACTATAGCCTACAATAGCTATGTCATATAAATCTGACACACCCCCATAAGCAAAGTGGGGGAGTACAAGGGGTCACAAGACCAGTCAAGCAAAGCAAAGCAAAGCAAAGCAAAGCAAGCTCAGGGTGGATCACAAAGTCACCACACAGTCCGAGCACAAGGTCAAGGCCACAAGACCAGTTCACATGCAGGAGTACACACATATGTATAAAAGGCTAGACAAGCAAGAGCACGAGTATATATATGTGAGAGTACAAGCAAGGTCAAGAGGTGAGCAAGTGAGGCAAGACAGGCACAAGACCCAGCTGAGTACAGAAGCGCTGATCATCACAAGGCGCAAGCGCCTTGGTGAAGATATCAGCAGTGTTGGCCTCAGAGGCCACGTACGCAAGACGCAGCTGACCACGCTGCTGCAGCTCACGAGCAAGGAAGTAGCGAAGAGCAATGTGCTTCGTTTAGTGCTCCAGTCTCTGCTCTCGACACAAGGCCAGCATGGCCTTGTTGTCTACGTACAGCACTGGAGGAGAACGAGACGGCTCTCCGAGGTCAGTCAGCAGGTAGGTGAGCCAGCGAAGCTCCTGTGCAGCCATGGCCCCAGCGTAGATCTCAGCCTCACAGCTGGAGCCGAGAACAGAAGACGAGCGCGTAGCCCGCCAAGAAACAGAGCCGGAACCAAGGCTGAAGGTGTAGCCCTGTGACGACCGCTGCGTAGCCTGGTCGTCAGCCCAAGAAGCGTCTGCGTGCCCAGTGAGGACCACTGGACTCTGCCCTCAAAGCACAAGCCCCATGCCTGACGTACTGCACAAGTAGCGCAACACCTCTTCGCTGCAGCCATGTGCTCCGGTCTGTGTCTCCCAGGTGCAACATAGCACGCGAGAATGCTAAGAGGGTATGCAAGGTCAGGACGAATGCAGGTCATCAGGTACATGAGGCAGCCAAGAAGCTCGGGATACGGGCCACTCGACTCTACGGACTCATCCGAAGGCAGAGCTGAGAGTGAGTGGCGAGTAGGCAGAGGAGTGGCTTGAGGCGAGGAGTACGTGAAGCCGAAGCGCTGAAGGACCTGCTGCACCATGTGTGACTGAGTCAGGGTAATGGTGCGCTGTGCTCTGTCCCGGGTGATCTGCAAGCCAAGGTAGCTGCACAGTTCACCCAGGTCTGTGCACATGTGTCTCTTCTACAGCTCGGACTTCACGTGGGCGAGTCCAGTAGTGTCAGGTGTGGCAAAGACCAAGTCGTCGACGTACACGAGGATGTAGAACAGCGGCAAAGAAGTGTCGGTGCGCAGAAACAGCGACGGGTCGGCTGTTGAAGGAGCAAACCCAAGAGCCACAAGCGTAGTCCTCAGTGTGTCGTGCCACTCACGCGGTGCCTGGCGGAGACCGTAGACTGGCCGCCGGAGGCTCCACTGGGTGCCAGGAGGAAAAGTCCCAGTGAAGCCAGGTGGGCGGCGCAGCCAGATCTCCTCGTGCAGGCTACCCTGCAAGAAAGCAGTGCTGAAGTCAAGAGAGTGAAGCTCGTAGTCGCGCTGAGCGGCTATGTGCAGCAGCACCCGAAGAGTGGTCATCTTCGGGGTGGGAGAGAAGGTCTGAAAGTAGTCAACTCCCTGCCGCTAACTGAAGCCACGAGCCACGTACCGCGCCTTGAAGACAGGTGGAGAACCTGGCGGCCGCTTCACCCTAAGATCGACATGCCACTGACGATGTTCGCCCCAGGCGGGGGAACCGCGTCAACGTAGGTGCCTGTGGACTTCCAGGAAGCCATCTCTGCGTCCATAGCTGCCTGCCACTGAGAGGAGTAGGGACCCTCTACGGCCTCCGCGTAAGAGCGCGGAGTCGGGATGTCAAGTGCATCCGGGTCTCCCTCAGGGGCAAGCAGTACAGACACGAGATAAGGTGAAGCAGTAGCCAGACACTGGAACTCCTCATGCCTGTCCTCAAGGACGTCCGTGCCAAGAGCACACTCACCCCCGACGGACGGAGGACAGACAGACGCAGACTCAGCAACAAGACTAGCAGTGTAGTCTAGACGACAGCGAGCAGCAAAGTCGACGAGCTCAGCAACTAGGGCAGACGCAGCAGTGGACTCAAAGGAGGGATCAGTGACGACAGTAGCAAAGAGACGCGTGACAGTAGGACTGGCAGCACGAAGAGAGTCCGACTCCGAGTCGGCAAGAGCAGGAAGAGAGGACACAAGAGGAGAAGGCAAAGGGACACGCAGAGGAGCAGTGGACGGACGCAGAGACATCCGGTGCGTGCCATGGACAGGAGGAGGACGCAGACGCGAACCGGGACCACTAGTGCGAGCCGCACGAACAGGCAACGCAGGACGAGACGCAGGCTCACGACGCTCAGCAAGACCTCTAGTAGGACCAGTGTAGGGAGAAGGAGCAGGCCATGGGGAGGCCGGCGGTAATTGTGACTATGATTGGATAGGCTATGGACCCTCTAAGGGAGGAGGAGGACGAAGAACCTGCTGAAGGAGCGGAACGAAGTACGGCCAAGGCCGCGCTGCGACTCTAGACACAGCAGGGACAGCACCAGCACCCCCAGCGGCAGTACAAGCGCCAACAGCACCTCCAGCTGCAGTACCTCCAGCAGCACCAGCAGCACCCGCAGCAGGACCGCCGCCAGGACTCACAGCAGTAGCCTCAGCGCCAACACCCTCAGCAGCTCCAGCTCCAGTCGTACCCGCAGGCCCAGCAGCTCCAGTACTCCTAGTACGAGCACCTCCGGGACCGGCGGCACCAGCACCCTCAGCAGCCGAAGAAGCGCCAGCTCCAGCAGTACGCCTCCAGCGCTGGGCAAACCACTCGCGCAGCTCCTGTGAAGAGAGTGGCTCCCGCGGAGACGAAGCACCCGGAGAACCTCTAGGCCCAGCACCGCCAGACGCCACACGAGCAGGTCCAGCGGCCGCAGGCTCCGCACCCCCAGGCTCAGCAGCTCCAGACGTGGCACCCCCAGGCTCAGCACCTCCAGACGTAGCACCCCCAGGCTCAGCACCCCCTGTCTCAGCACCCCTATGCTCAGCACCCCCAGCAGCACCACCCTTAGGCCCAGCACCCCTAGGCGTAGCACCCACACGCTCAGCACCCCCAGAGTTAGCACCCCCAGGCTCAGCACCCCCAGCAGCACCAGAGTCACCAGTAACCTCCACAGACTCGACTGCGTCTACCTGGGACACACCTGAAGGGGCAGGACCCTGAGGGGGGAGGGACGGAGTGCGGTAGGGGAAGAGACGGTAGTAGGGGACCGACTCGTCAAACGTGACGTCCTGGGAGGACAGAACACAACGAGAGGTGGGGTGGTAGAATTGCCACCCTGGCGCGTCAGGGGGGAAGCCAAGGAAGACGCAAGGAGCAGCACGAGGGGACAGCTTGTCCGTAGACAAGTCGCGGACAAACGCCCGAGATCCCCAGACACGGAACGCAGACGCATCGCCAACCTTCCCTGTCCACAGCAAAGCTGGGGAGGTCTCCGGCATGGAGACCCTGGGGTGAAGGTTGATCTGATGCGCCGCGTACCGAACCGCAAACAGCCACAGAAAATGGGGGGTAGCCGCATGCATCATGGACGTACGGGCGACGTCCATGACCATGCCAATGCGGTGCTCAGCAATCCCATTTTGCTGTGGAGAGTCCGGAAGCGTAAAGGTCTGGCGGATGCCTCGTGCACGACAGTAGGCTCGCAGAAGGCCAGAGGAAAACTCTCCGCCTCGGTCAGAGTGCAGACGCAGAACAGGAAAGTCCGAGCCGAAGCTCCTCCTGAGCTGGAGACAAGTTGCGCGGATCCAGTCGATCAACACCTCAGTGACCTTCTTTGTTCACATGCTATATGTTCTTGCAGACCTATAGTGAACCTCTCATTCCAAACTTTCTCGACACCTTCCCTTGGCACAACTTACTCGACATCCTCCTTGGGCCTAGGCTCCTAAGCCTAGGCACTAGTTAAACCTAGCATCTAACTACACTTATTCTCGTTCATTTTCACATGGATTCAGAGCGTGTTTCATCCTGGCCTGTGGGCCCGCCTTATGATTCCCCTCCTATTTTTTCCGGTCGCGCGCCTAGGGCGCGTGGCGATTTTCGTCCTGTCCCGCCCCCGGGTGGCGAGTGACACCTTCTCTGCCCGTCGCGCGCCCCGTGGCACGCGACGGTGCCCTACACTTGCCCGTCGTGCGCCCCGTGGCACGCGACGGTGCCCTGCTCGTTGTGCGCCCCGAGGCACACGACGGTGCTCTAAACTTGAACTTGCCCGTCGTGCGCCCCGTGGCACGCGACGGTGCTCTCCGCACCTGCACTCCCTGCAGCCGCCCCTGACCTACCTGCGCCGACCCTTTGTAGCTGCTCTGCGGGTTTCTTCCCGCCCACCCCATCCTCCTTCTGCTGCAGGCAGTTATGGGGGAGTGTCTAAATTTATATATGTAATTGCCTGTAGCTGTAGTTAGTGTAGTTATTATAAACTTTGTTAGGTGGTGCACCTTCTTTGTTCACATGCTATATGTTCTTGCAAACCTTTCTCGACACCTTCCCTTGGCACAAATTACTCGACATCCTCCTTGGGCCTAGGCTCCTAAGCCTAGGCCCTAGTTAAACCTAGTATCTAACTACACTCATTCTCGTTCATTTTCACAAGTGGGTCACCCGCTGACTCCCAGGAGTGAACTGGTGAACCCCCGCATCCTGTAGGTCAGCACCACTCACCAAGTTCGTAGAGAACGAGGGGAAGTAAAGACCAGACAAGGTGCCAGAGGGGGCCGCCGGACACGGGAGGACAGTGGAGAAGTGAGAAAGGACAGGACCCCCAGAGGGGTCTGCCAGAGAGACTGCAACCGGCCGACCAAGCGCCGTGAGTGTGGTGCGGTCTTGAAAGAAGGAGCGAGAAGTCCCTGAGTCAAGGGTGAAGGTGAGGGAGGCCGAAGCCGACGCAGTACCCTGAGAGCGCAGACTCACCAGAACCTGAGGAAGCAGACGCACCGGCACCTAGAGCAGTAGCCTTACTGGCACCTAGAGCAGCAGCCTCACCAGTACCTAGAGCACCAGTCTCAATGCCCGGGTCGGGCGGAAAACACCGGTAAGAGTCACCATCATCACTAATAGTCACAGCATACATGGCAGCAAGAATAGCATCAAAGTCAAGGTCAAAGATAGCTACACCCGCCCTAGACAGCTCACCCCAGCAGGGGATCTCAGTGGCCTCCGGGAACTGGTGACGCCAAGCGTCCGTCAGGCGGCCAAAGCAGCGCTGGGCCGGGTGTGCACCCCCACACTGCTCACCCGCACGGTCGCCGGTGCGTAGGACGTAGGTGCACGGACCAGTACCCCCACCCCACTGACGTGCAGCGTACCACTCACGGAGCTGCTGGAGGGGGGTGGATGTCCCGAGTGCGCTGCTGCTGCTGCTGCTGCTGGCGCGGACCACCACCGGAGCCGCCCCGCTGCGTAGCGCCACCCCGACCAGCTCCACCTCCTCCGCCACCGCCTCCTCCACCGCCGCCACCTCCGCTACCACCGCTCCCACCGCCACCGTCTCCGCCCCCTCCGCCTCCACTGCCGCCACCGACACCTCCACCCCCGCCACCACTCCCACCGCCACCCCCACTCCCTCCGCCGCCTCCACCACCCCCGCTAGCTCCTCCAGCGCCCTTGCCCCCCTTGCCCTTGCCAGAGCAGTGTCTCACGCTTGGGGTAGACGCCACACCGACCGACTCAAGACCAACTAGGTCGTCCGTAGCAGCAGAGGCGACAGAGGGCAAAAGGGGGGAGGGGGAACACCCCTCAAAGATGGGGGTGCGAGGGTCACCACGAGAGGCTCCTACAGCGACTATGCTCTTCTCCGCTGCGAGGAGGGCCTTCTCGAGGAGGTCAACGGTGAGAGTGGTGGGGCAAACTGAGAGGAAGTGGTCCCTGACTACACGAAGAGAGTCGGGGAGCCGGGTGACTATGTAGTAGAGGGTGATGTACATGGGGGGGGGGGTTCTTGGCGCAGAATTCAGCAGGAAGCGCGGCGCAGTAGCGAGTGTCACTAGTGCGGAGGTGCGTTAATGAGGTCAGCGACTTTGGGAAAGACAGCAAGGTCAGGGAACAGGTACGGTAGCATGAGGCGGCTCAGTGCAGCAGTGGCAGGGGAGGAGTAGCGTGCAACTACAGCGGCGTACAAGGTCTGAGCACTCTTGTACTGGCTAAAGTGCGCACGCTCAGAGGTAGGGAGGTGGCGACGCACAGCAAGACGTGCAGCAGCATCGCGTGTGGCCCACTGTGAGCGAACAGTGGCGTCTAGCATCAGCAGTAGGGGCAGGAGAGGCACCAGAGGTGAGGTCAAAGAGGGAGGAGACCGTCTGCCCTATCGCACTGTAGGAAAAGCTGCAGGTCATCTATCCAGACTGTCAAAGTCAATGGCCCGACCCTCAGCGTCAAAAGCGAGGACACTAGGGGTGGCCATGACAGCATAGTAGCACGAGTAGTAGGGTAAGGGCAGTGCAGTGAAAGAGGCGCTGCTCTTACCAGACAGGGGCGGCTTTGGGCGGCTCGGGCGGCTCGGCAACTCGGCGGCTCGGGCGGCTCGGGCGGCTCGGGCGGCTCGGCGACTCGGCGGCTCGGGCGGCTCGGGCGGCCCGGGCGGCTCGGCGGCAACCGCGGCTCGGCGACTCGGCGGCTCGGGGCGGCTCGGACGGCTCAGGCGAGCTCGGCGGCTCGGGCGGACTCGGCAGCTCGGGCGGCTCGGGTGGGCGACAAGGGCTGGGGCCGTTGGTAGGTGACGGGGTCGGGGCCGCAGGTAGGCGACGGGGCCGCAGGTAAGAGGACGGGGCCGAGGCCGCAGGTAGGGCGACGGGGCCCGGGGCCTCAGGTAGGAGACATGGGGCCAGGGGCCGCAGTAGGCGACAAGGGCCAGGGGCCGCAGGTAGGCGACGGGGCTGCAGGGGCCGTAGGTAGGCGCGGGGCCGGGGTCGAGGAAGGGGCCGGGGCCGCAGGTAGGCGACGGGGCCGTAGGGCGGGCTGATCAGGGCCGGGGAAAGGGCGGCGCAAGGGCCGCGGGGGTAGGCGGACGGTGCCGCGAGGCGGCAGATCGGGGCCGGGAAGGGCGGCGCCGGGGCCGTAGGGCTAGGCGACGGTGGCCGCTAGGGCGACGGCGGCCGCTAGGGCGACGGGGCCGCTAGGGCGACGGATCGGGGCCGCGAGGGCGGCGCGACGTAGCCGCTAGGGTGGCTCGACGAGATCAAAGAGAGGAGCGCGACTCGGGCTGAGCGCGCTCCGGGCAGGGAAAAAAATTTCGACTTGGTGGGCCCTAGGCACAGTTCCCACGGGGGAACCTGCTCGATACCATGAGAAAACTGAAACGAGAATGAATTGACTAAGTGAAAGTTGGGTACAAATACAACCCTAGAAAGCTTGTACCCCATATGTGCTACCCCACTATAGCCTACAAATAAGCTATGTCATATAAATCTGACAGGTTGGGATACATATACTGTAGCAAAACCCTAAAATTTGTACCCCCTAAGACAAGCCTCACTACAGGTTACAACACTTGACAATCGTAGCTATGTCTGTGTTCTCTACCACTTGTGCGTGTACAAGGCAAAAACACAAGAGTTTCACTATAAAAATTGAGAATACAGAGTTCACAATGAACAAGCAATGGCAAGAATGACTACAATCACATGCAAGGTTTGCTAATGCACAGGCAAGTCGACCGCCAGTAAGAACAAAATTGTCAACCTGGCCAACGTAGCAAGTCTGCGGCCCAACAACGTAAGCTCATGTACGAACTTACCAACGCTTTAGAATGGCGGCCTGCCAACGGCTGCACCTGCACGGCTTGCCAACGTTGCACACACACGACTTGCCAACATTGCGTCCATAGGCGCATGTGCAAGCACCTACTTCGCATGTGCTTGTAGACAGTTATGCACGACATGCACAATCGAGCACATTGCATAGGTGCCAGGTTGGCCACATGCAGACAGTTGCACCCAACTAGCCATCTGGACCACGTGCTGCCACGTCGGTCGACTTCGCCTCACAAACCTCGACGAAGTTCGGGACCCTCTGCAGAACCTCGTCGAGCAGGTAACTTCGGTCGACCGGGTAAAGTCTCCGACAACCCTACAGGTCGATGACCTTCGTCATCATAGATCGTCGTCATCGCGGGACACAACCTTCGTCGACACACTTCGGTCGACATTCGAAATTCCGACTCTCATGGTCGTCGATGATTAGGGCACATTCAAATTTCTAGCCAAAATTCTCTTATGCAATTACGAGGGTGCGCATGATCAGACGCGACCCTCCGCAGATGAACACCCCGTGAACCTCTGCACCAGCTGCGCCACTTGCACATATACACGAGACGTTTGCGTTGCACTTGCAGGTGCTTTAGTTAATCTTGCATGGGTTCCCTAGTACACCTCGTGTATAGGCAACCCTTCATCTTGTGCACAAGGTCCTTGTCCCAACCTGCGCAAAAGCTCCAGATCTCTCATACCGCAGAGAGTCGGCTGCACCTCCCACACATCCGACCACGAAGTCAGTTTTTCCCAAGCGAGGGCAAGGCCAACTCCCGTCAACACTCCCCTGCTGCCTTCACGCTTGGGCACCC